TCTGGCGCCGGGACGCGAACCGCGGTCGACTACAGGGGAGTCCAGCGACATAGCCATTACGCTAACTGCTGGTCCCAATAACATAGTTCTTTAAAAAAAGTATTTCTGTCTATGGTCATAAGGATTGCTGACCTATAGTTTTTTAAATATATATGTATGTATATTTTAAAATAATTATTTAATTTTATTTATTATTATTTTAATTTAATCAGAGAGAGAAAAAGTGAGAAAGCAAGCTGCCAGGCCAGGGACTTGAACTGTGGTTGACCATTTGGGATTCTAGCGTTGTAACTGCCATCCCACTTGCTGACCCTTTTTTTTTATATTTTTATGGCATTTTGGTATCAGAGTAATCCTGGCATTTTGGAATTAGGAACTATTCCATCTTCTTCACTTTTCTGTAAAAGTTTATGTGGGGGTCATTGGAAAAGCCATAATACATTTTTGCATAGAAAAATATATCATGTCTTCTCTGATAACCCAATAGAATGGGTTCAGTTTTATCTATAAATAGAATTTCTCAGGAATCCATCTAGACCTTGAGTTTTTTTGTAGGAATGTTTTGGATTACAAATTGATTTTCTTTACTAAATACATGACATTTATTCTTGAGTGATAGTTCTCATCTTTCAAAGATTTTGACTAATTAACTAATTTGTAACCATGAGGTTGTTCATAATGCTCTCTCTCTCTTTTAAATTCTCTATAGGTACTGGAGTGATATTTTCTTCTTTATCCATAAAATTGGCAATCTTTGTTTTTCTCTTTTTTTCCCCCCCAGGATTTGTCTTGCTAAGGATCTGTCAGTTTTATTGATCTCAGAGAACCAGCTTGGGGTTTCATTATATCTATTATTTTTTTAAGAGAAATTTTTGCTATAGGGCACATGTACTCACCGGAGAGACAAAAAGTGACAAATCAGCCCCCCAGTCAGGATGGCCATACCGCAATCTCTTCTTCTTCAGTCTTCTCTTGGGATTTTGGGCATGTACATACAGGCACTCAGCATGAATTTTTTTTTCTTTTTTTCTTTCTTTTTTTTTTTTTTTGAGAGAAATTTTTGCTCTAGGGCACATGCAATCACTGGACAGACAGAGAAAGACAAAGAGACAGAAAGTGAGAAATCACCCCCAGGAGGGATGGCCACACTGCAGTCCCTTCTCCATTCTCCTCTCTGGATTTTGGGCATGCACACACATGTGCCAGTGTGAGTTTTAAGATGCTGGGTCCAGGACTCGAACTGCAGTCGATTATGTGAGAGTCCAATGACATAACTATTATGCCATCTGCTGGTCCCACCAGTGTGAATTTTAAGTCACTGGATGCAGGACTTGACCTGCAGTTGACTACATGGGAGACCTGTGACAACCATTACCCCATCTACTGGTCCCATCTATTATTACATTTTGTTTCCTGTGTCTTAGATTTCTGCTCTGATCTTTAGTATGTCTTTCTTCCTGCTTATTTTGGTTTTAATTTGTTCTTTTCTAGTTTCGTAAGGCAGAATTTGGTCTCATTTGTTTAAAACCTATGTTCAAAGTTAAGTTTTTTAGTGCTCTGTCGCTCCTTATATGCGCTATTTTATCTATATGTGACAACTATTGATATATTGTATTTTCATTTAGTTCTAAATACTTTCTAATGTCTCTTTTATTTCTTCTTTGACCTATGGTTTATTTTTAGGTGTGTTATTTATTTTTTGAGTATCCAGGGATTTTCCAGGTGTCTTTCTAGTACTGATTTCAAATTTAATTCCATTGTTACAGACATCATACTTTGTATGATTTTTGCAATTATTAAGACAAATTTTATGATTTATAATCTGGTCTATCTAATCTATGAAAAGAGTGTGTATCTTGTTTTAGGTTAGATGAATTGAAAGTATTATGTAAAAGTCTTATATACTTACTGAATTTCTCTCTAGTTGTATTAAAATTTTTGTTTCAGTACCTAATTATAAAGATTCTTCAATAATAACAAAAATTTTTATACTTGAACTGCTATTTCATTTGTTTTGTTGTTTTTAAATTGTCTAGACATGAAGGTAAATCCTATTCCTTTTACCCCTTGGCTGAAAGCCCAAGTTCAATCAGGTCTTAAGGCTGGCAATATTTTTCAATCTTGATTTAAATAAGATCTTTATAATTTGTTTCTAAGTTGTCATAAATTTGCTTTTGTTTTTCTTTCTCAATTATTTCTAGATTCAGAATCTAGCATGTATTTTCTGGGCATCTGGTTAATTCAAACGTCTCTAAGAAGGACTCAAGATATCCTTAAAGGAATAAAATATTCTCTAAATTAAACAGAATTATGTGAAATCTCAGAACAAATTTGAGAATCTGTAATATCTTTGTTCGACTTTACCTTAAAATGTCAAAGATTTAATTCTTAGCTTTTGGCCGGAACTGCCATCTTCCAGTAATTAACAAAAATGACGAACACAAAGAGAAAGAGGAGAGGCACCCGATATATGTTCTCTAGGCCTTTTAGAAAACATGGAGTTGTTCCTTTGGCTACATATATGCGAATCTACAAGAAAGGTGATATTGTAGACATTAAGGGAATGGGTACTGTTCAAAAAGGAATGCCCCACAAATGTTACCATGGCAAAACTGGAAGAGTCTACAATGTTACCCAGCATGCTGTTGGCATTGTTGTGAACAAACAAGTTAAGGGCAAGATTCTTGCCAAGAGAATCAATGTATGTATTGAGTATATTAAACATTCTAAGAGCAGAGATAGCTTCCTAAAATGTGTGAAGGAAAATGACCAGAAAAAGAAAGAAGCCAAAGAGAAAGGTACCTGGGTTCAACTGAAGCGCCAGCCTGCTCCACCCGGAGAAGCACACTTTGTGAGAACCAATGGAAAGGAGCCTGAGCTACTGGAACCTATTCCCTATGAATTCATGGCATGACGGGTGTTAAAAAATGAACTAATCTGTGATCTATTAAAAAAAAAGATTTAATTCTTACTGTTGGATATTAGGGCATACGAGGTAAAATGATCATTAGATTGTTTTTGAAACTTTTAATTTTGATATAATTACATATGTGTAGCAAATCTGTAACAGGAATACAAAAAAATCTTTGTATGTGCCTTGTTCAAATTCTTCAGTTATTTTCAGTTTTTTCACTTGATTTTTGTAGAGTACACCTTCAGACTTAATGTTGAAGAAGGAGTGGGAATCCCCAAAATACCTGTGCATCCCATTGGATATAATGACGCAGAAATGTTATTACGGTACAGTTTTCTTGTTGGATGTGAGATTAAGATATTTTGCACTAAGGTGTCATTTTCCAATCTAAAATCAATATAACCCAATTACATTAAAAGTAAAGCCTTCTATCAAAATATCTCCTGAAGTAGGAATAACAGCATAGCATCCTTTTATTCCAGAAGAGAAAAACAATCGGTTTAGTGATTAAGAAATAATAAAACATTACTGTTTGCTAAAAATGAACTTCTCAGTGAGTCCAGCAGGTGGTGCAGTGGTTAAGGCACTGGACTCACACAAGGCTGACTGTGGTTCAAGTTCCAGACATGGTGGCTTGAAAAACATATCAGGCACATGTGTATTCATGCCCAAAATCCCAGAAGGAGAATGGAGGAGAAGGGATTGTGGTATGGCCGTCTACCCTGAAGGTCTAAAACTGTATCTGAGGATAAAAATGAAAACTGATTTCAGCTTTTTAAAAGTCATTCAATTTCTTAGATATTTATTAGATATTTATACCTGACCTTTGGTTTAATGATGTGTTTATACCCATACTAGATGTTTTACCTTCGGACAATTGTTTAATCTTTCTCAGTTTCCTTATCTGTGAAATGAGGAAAGTAATATATTCTCTCTAGTAGGGTCATTATGAGATCACATAGGTACACTACTTTGGACATTATGGTAAAATCTCAATTTTAGCTGTTGTATTCTATGACTGATATTTCTTCACATATTCCTAAATTCCGTTTTTATTTAAATATATATACCAGCACAACTTAATAATTGCTTTATGAGTGCCTACTTTGAAATCAGCCTCTTCTTTACAAATTAATTTATTCAAGATTTTTTGGACCCAGTACTTCCCCACATAAATAATTAAGGTCAAGAGTAAGGAAACTGCCCTCATTGTTTACTTTTTTCTCCTTAGCACTTATTACTAATGGGTTACATATTTAACTTATCTATCTCACGTATGGCTCTTTCACTGAAATGTAACTCTGCCATGGAAGGGGTTTATTTTTGGAAAGGTTTTTGCTGTAAGGCATGCGTGCTCACCAGAACGACAAAGAGAGAGAGAGAGACAGAGAAACAGAAAGTTTGAGAAATCACCCACTAGGGACGATGGCCAGGCCGCAATCTCTTCTCTTTTATTCTCCTCTTGTGATCTTGGGCATGCATGCACACCTGCCCAGCGTGAATTTAAGCCACTGGGTTCGAGACTCAAACCACGGTCAACTACATGGAAGTCCAGTGACATAGCCATTACACCAACTGCTGGTCCCTGGGAAGGGGTTTTTGACAGTATTTGGCACTTAGTAAATGTTCAGTAAATATTTCTTAGGTGTATGAATGAAATATTATCATCAGATTTCACAATTTCTCCTTGGCCATTGTGATGCTCAGCCTTTTTCTGCCATTTTTGTTTTCTCTTGACAGCCATTTAGGAGGATCTGCTGCACCAGATGAAAGCTGGAAGGGAGCTCTTAATGTGCATTACAATATTGGGCCTGGCTTTACTGGAAGTGGTTCTTCTAGGTAATTTTGCATTATTTTAATAGCCTGGACAAGTTATAGATGTATTGATAGGTAGATAGATAGATAGATAGCATTATTGGAATAATTATATATTATTATATTACATATGCTTTTTAATGAGAAGATAACTGTTTTATTAGGTATATTTTGCTTCTCTTTTTTTTCACTATTGAACAATCTATCATTTTATATCACTTAAGATGTATTTACAGAATGACATATCTTCCAATAATGATATTACAATTTTGGGCTAAAACAGTTAAGGCAGTCCGATCCCACATGGCTGACCGTAGTTCAGATTCTAGCCTCAATGACTTTAAAAACACTTAAGACCTATGTACATGCATGCGTAAAATCCTGACAGGACTTAGGAATGGAGGAAAAAAGATGTAGCTTGACTATACCCCACTGGGGGGGTTGGGCACTCATTCTCTCTGGTGAGTACATGTGCCCTCTGGCAATAAAAATAAAGTGATATCACAATAGTAACTGCATAGAGTCTCAAACATTCATACATGTGAGTTACAGGTTAAACAAGCAGTGATTTATTATTTTTTTTAATTTCTGTTTAATGTAACTTTTTCCCCCCCTTGGCGTGCATGCACTCACTGGAGAGAGACAGAGTGAGGGAAAGTGAGAAATCACTGCCCAAAGGGTATGACCATGCCACAGTCCCTTCACTTTTATTCTCTCCTGGGATTTTTGGTACATACACACACACACACACAAACACACACACACATACACATGATTTTCAAGCCACCAAGTCCAGGACTTGAACTACTGTCTGCCATGTGGGTGTCCATCTAAACCACCATGCCCCATGCTGGCCTCACATATAACATTTTTTAAAACATTTTTTTTCAAATAATAATTAAAATGGCAAGAATCACTAGGTTAGGTAAGGGACTGAGTAAAAGATAAGAGAGAAAGGAGCTCACATTTATTGACCAGTTACTGTTTAGGTTAAATGGATTAAAATAGGGAGACCATATAACTACTATAAGGCTCAATCAATTTATTATAATTATTATCGTTATAAACACATGATAACACTACTATAGAGATGATAGAGTCAAAGAATATGTGTTTATTGAATACCTTTAAAGAAAAAGTAAAGATTTTCCATTGGGTCAAGGCAAGTGAAAAATACCAGCTAGAGAGATCAGCTTATACAGATTTGTGAAACAGTAGGGCATGATCAGATCTTTAAGGTATTTGATTGGGGCCAACAGGTGGCATGATGGTTAAGATATGCTGGACTCTCACATGGCTGACTGATTCGAGTCCTGGACCTGGCGGCTTGCTTTCTCACTTTCTCTCTCTCTCTCTCTCTCTCGCTCGCTCTGATCGAATTTTAAAAACAATAATGATGATGAATAAAATTAAGTAAAATAACTCTTAAAACAAAACAAAGAAAAGAAATTTGATCTGGGGACCAGCATATGGTGTAATGGTTATGTTGCTGGACTCACATGTTTATGGCAGTTTGAGTCCCAGACTCAGTGGCTTGAATATCACACCAGGTGCCTTCCCAAATTTCTGAGAAGAAAATGGAGGAGAAGGGATTACACCCCCCTTGCAGGGTGACTTTCTGTGTTCCTTCCCACTGTGTCCTTTTCTTTCTACTGTGAGTGTACATGCCCTAAGGCAAAAACCTCTAAGGAAAAAAATTATTTGCTTAAAGTGCAGAAGACGGAATACTGATAACTCAGAGAAGACATAGCTGTTTTTATTAAATCAGAATTACTACATCAATCTAGTTTGCTAACAATTTACCTTAACTATGAATTTGGGTTCTTAGAGTTTAGTGAATTCTTCTACTTTTTAGTTTTGTAGGACTTTTTAAAAAATTTCTTCCATGAGTAAGAGAGACAAAGAGAGAAAGAAAGAGATGGAGGGAGAGAGACAGAGACAGACAGATACCTCCAACAGGGATCTAATGCCAATCCACCCATAGCCTCAGCCAGCCCTGGATCATGGGCACACTCTCTATCTGCAGGGAGTTTTCCAGATGTGAATCAGGAAACCCTTATATGAATCAGCCTCACAGAGCATCAGTGCCATGGTCTGACTCTGTACATTTTTTTTTATTCTGGAATATTTAAAGTATTGGAAGTTCAATTTTATTATTTTATAGGAATTTTCCTAGATTTGTTTTCTGTAAGTATTTATTTTTCTCTATAATTCAGTTAGAACAATGCTCCTTTAATTTAAGAGACTTTGTGATCTTGTTTATATATGCCCTCCAGAGGTAGGAAAATATACAGTGAAACTCACACTTGCATGATGATTTATAAACAGAAACATACTGACATAGAAAGCATAGCTTTAGTTCTACAGTCTTGGTCATAGTTTTGAAAAGTAAATGGAGAAACACAATAACTTCCAGGTCTAGATATTAAAAAGCTGTTCTCTTTCACTGGAGGCATAGCCTTCGTAATTGATTCAAGTTCAAATGAATAGACACACAAATGATGAACAACAACAAAAAAACTAAAACCAGATTCTCTGTTATTAGTTACCCTACAAAGATCTTGATAATCCATTAATCCATGCAGAAATACTACAAATGACAATATATAAACCTAAATCCCTATCATTGCTGTCACCAATAGGAAGTAACTTAGTTTTCCCTAATGAAAGGACTCCATGGGGCCAGCCCTCCAAATTTATATTTAATAATAGAATTCATCGTGCTTCTTATCGACTACACTCAAGTCGGCTCTTAAACAGTGTACTTAAATGCCACTTCCATAGTCTGGAATAAAATTACTCAGTAACAGGAAATAATACGAATGTAAAGACAAGGATTCAAATACTTTTCTTCTATTATGTAATGGGCTGTCTTCCTTGTTTTTATAATTAAGTGTGGTGTATTTAAAAGTGTTAGAATCTCTAAGACGTTTCAAATAATAGAGTATTTTGAATTGTAAATAAATAATATAGATATGAGGGAAGAGGGTTATAAAATATTAGTAAAATTTAAATTACTTATTTAATTTGCTTTATTACTATTTTTAAATTTGATCAGAGAGAGAGAGAGAAAGAAAGGGACAGTGAGAAAGCAAGCCACCAGTGTTAGAATATCTAAGACATTTTGAATAATAGAGTATTTTGAATTGTAAATAAATAATATAGATATGAGGGAAGAGGGACATAAAATATTAGTAAATTTGTAAATTACTTATTAATTTAGTTTATTATTATTATTTTTAAATTTGATCAGAGAGAGATAGAGAGAGAAAGAAAGGGACAGTGAGACAGCAAGCCAGCAGGTCCAGAACTTGAACTGCAGCTGGCCTTGTAATTTGAAGTTCAGTTCCTTAACCACCATGCCACCTGCTGACCCCAGAAAATTAGTAAATTAAAAAAAATTAACTTTAAGGTGCATGCATAAGTACTTAGGAGTACATTGTCATGATGTCTGCAACTACTTGCAAATGATTCATCGATGTTAACAATTAATGAATTTAAGGGGGACCAGCAGTTAGCGTAATGGCTATGTCGCTGGACTCCCACGTAGTTGGCCGCGGTTCACATCCCGGACCCGGTGGCTTAAAACTCACACCAGGCACGTGTGCGTGCGTGCCCAAGATCCCGAGAGGAGAATGGAGGAGAAGAGATTGCGGCGTGACCATCCTCCCTGGGGGGTGATTTCTTGCTTTCTGTCTCTATGTCTCTCTCTGTCTGTCTGGCGAGCATACGCGCCCTATAGCGAAAACCTCTCCAAAAAAAAACCCAAAAACAATTAATGAATTTAAGTGATGGATATATGAGAATTTATTATCCTATTGAACAGTTATTTGTAGTTTTGAGATGTTCCATAATAAAATGAAAGAAAATTAATACGCACAATACCTTATACAAAGTAATTTATTCCTTTTGAAATTCTAGGAAAGTTAGAATGAATGTTCATAACATCAATAAAGTTACCCGAATTTACAATGTAATTGGAACTATCAGAGGATATGTGGAACCTGGTGAGTCAGTAAACTTTTAAAAAATACTTTGTGTTTACCATGATTAAAGAACTAGAGAAGATCTCATTCAATAATTTATGTTTTTCTGGGAGATCCGAAACTACTAGATTTGCAAAAAGTGTCCAAGTGTAAACAAAGATTTTGCTTTAGAGCATTTTCTATGGAGGAAACTCAAGCAAGAACAAGTTTAATTTTGAAAACAAATATTATTTATAATATACATACCCAGAGTAGTAGTTTTGTTGTTGTTTTGAGCACATTATTTTCCAGACAGATATGTTATTCTGGGAGGTCATCGAGACTCCTGGGTGTTTGGAGCAATTGACCCAACCAGTGGGACTGCTGTTCTACAAGAAATTGCCCAGAGTTTTGGAAAGCTCATGAGTAGAGGTAAATAATGCTTCTTTGGGAGGTGATGACTGAAAATGACTTACTTCATTTACCTTTACTTTTAGGCAGGTGTACCTAACCATGTATGTTAACAATAATTACAGGCTGGAGACCTAGAAGAACTATCATTTTTGCCAGCTGGGATGCAGAAGAATTTGGACTTCTGGGTTCCACTGAATGGGCTGAGGTAAATAAGACAGGTTTCTGTTACTTTCTTAGCCTACAGGGACTAATACATACATACTCCAGGATTATCGCCAACAGATTCCATGACCTAATATGGTTTTAATTCAACTCTAGAGAATTTAAGAAATAGTTTTTACTTTCATAACAGAATAATCTTGTTGGCTACAAACGATTTGATTTATTCTTGTCACAGAATTTTATTGGGTTGTCAGAAAAGCCATGATGTATTTTTCTATGCACAACCTAATAGTTTCTATTTGTATTGTTCCATGACACATAAGTAAAATGAATAAACTCAGAAAATAATCAAAATTATCAAGCAATTTTTTCCAAGTGAATTGATGTAGTTATAACTGATAGAGATCCTGGGAGCTAATATTAAAGTTTTGGAAGATTTTTTTGGAGTTCTTCCATATGAGAAACATAAAGTGTTATATGAGGATGACTGTACTGGGACAAGCAAATGGTGTAATGGTTATATCACTGGACTCCCACATGGCTGACTGCAGTTCATGTCCCAGACCCAGTGGCTTATAACTCAGGTGGGGCATGTGTGCATGTGTGCCCAAGATCCCAGGAGAAGAATGGAGGTGAAGGGATTGTGGCATGGTCATCCCCTCTGGGGGGTGATTTCTTGCTTTCTGTCACTCTGTCTCTCTAGTGGGCACACATACTCAACAGCAAAAATCTCTCAAAAAAAAAAAAGAAGATGACTGTACTTTAATTATAATTTCATATTTACAGATTCAGTATAAAATTATAACCATAGGTATCTTTTTCAGTTCACAATAGGTATGTGCCTAATTGTTAAGTATAAGGAGATAATTTTCTAAATTGAATTACTGTAGTAAATTGGCTAACTTTACAACTTTACTTTTCATATTTTTTGTCTTTGCATATATTAATAACTGACTTTCATTTGTCACTGGCTCTTAATTCTTTAAGTGTCCCTCTTTCTTTCATCTTCTTCCCTTAGCCTCTCTTTCAAGTAATCTCTAATTGTTAAATGTGTAAGGTAAGACCATGCATTTTTATAAAGGTAGGTGCTCTATGTAATTACTTACTTTTCCTAAACTACACTATTTCTAAGTCCAGAATTTGAAGTTGTTTTGAAGCATAGAATACATATCTGGCCATTGTGTTTACTTTTTAAATGCTTTCATCCTGATTCATTTCATCTTTCATTACTTTTAATGTAATAAAAATAATATGAATCAAATGAACTTGTTTAATATAATTTACCCTTTGTTGATTATGCTTACACTGCAAATTTTTATTATTACATTGGCATCTTGAAGGTAGTTGTCATCTGGCCTACACAGGCTAGTGCAGAGGTGATGGTTCTTAATTGTGTCACAACTACACACAACTTTAAATGTTTTCACTATGACATGTTCTCATATAGTTAGCTGGACAGAGGGGGTGAAGGGCCCCTCAGAATGTTGCCATCCATGTGTGACCACATTACTCTTTCTCTGTCTTAATTTTCTTATATCTGTGTGTGCATTGGTGGAAAAGAGAGACAGACGGAACTTCCTTTTGTCCTAATCTGTTCTTCTCACCCTCTAATTTTTTCTCAGTCCTCCTCCCCTTTTAATTCTTTCACTTATCCAAGTATTTTTTAAAGAGATTTTTGTGTTAGAGCATCTGCACTTACCAGAGAGAGAGAGAGAGAGAAGGACAGAGACAGTGAGAAATCACCCCCTGGGGGAATGGCCATGACTCATTCCTTTCTCTTTCATTCTCCTCCTGAAGTCTTGGACATGCACATACACGCATCCGGTATGATTTTCAGGCCTCCAGATCAGGGACTCAGACCACAGTCAGCCATGTGGGAGCCCAGTGACATAACTGTTACATTATCTGTTGGCCCCTATATATTTGTATATGTAAACATATATATATATATATATGTTTAAAACAAATATATATTTTTTTGGGGGGGGAGAGGTTTTTGCTATAGGGCACATGTGCACGCCAGAAAGACAGAGAGACAGAGAGACAGAAAGTGAGAAATCACCCCCTAGGGGGGATGGCCATGCCACAATCCCTTTTCCTCCATTCTCCTCTCGGGATCTTGGGTACACATGCACACGCGCCCAATGTGAGTTTAAGCTACTGAGTCCGGGACTCGAACTATGGTTGACTACATGGGAGTCCAGCAACATAGCCATTACACTAACTGCTGGTTCCAACAAATGCATTATTTTTTAAAAAAAAGTCCTTTTTTAATATAGAGAAATAGAAAGCTCCTGTTTCTTTAAACTTTTAAAGTGATAAATTTACTTGGGTATTCTATGTCAGTGGATCTCAAGCCTCAGTGTAGGTAAGGATAATAGCAATTGATTGCCAGGGATATCTGTTAGAAAATACAGATTTCTTGAGCAACCAGTGGTGTAGTGGCTAAGATGCTGGATTCCCACAGTTTGAGTCCCAGCGAATTGAAAATCACGCCAGGCACATGTGTGTGTGTGGCTAAAATCCTGGGAGGAGAATGGAAGAGAAGGGATGGCGACATGGCCATCACACTGGTGAGTGATTTCTCACTTTCCTCTCTCTGTCTCTTTCTCTTTCTCTCTGGTGAGCACACACACCCTGTAGAAACCAAAGAAAAAGAAAACAAATATAAATTTTGAGGTCTTATTTTCAGTAATTGTGATTCAGTGAATCTGGAGTTGGATGTCAGATTCTGGACTCTCATTCCTACATATTCCGATTTTGGAACTAAAGAAACTCGACTTTAATTTTGTTTTCCTTTGAGACTCTGTGCTGTTATAAACGCTAGCTGCTTCATAATATTCTTCTATATTATTTTAATTGCACTAATGCTCTTGTCAATCAACTGTGTATCAGTATTATCTCAGAAATAACGGTTACGGATAGGCATATGTATTTGATTCAAAAAAATTATGAATCTGGGGCCAGCAGTTGGCCTAATGGCTATGTCGCTGGACTCCCATGTAGTCAACGACAGTTTGAGTCCCAGACCCAGTGGCTTAAATTCACACCAGTCGCGTGTGCGTGCGGGCCCAAGCTCCAGAGAGGAGAATGGAGAAGGGACTGTGGTGTGGCCATCCTCCCTGGTGGATGATTTCTTGCTTTGCATCTGTCTTTCTGGTGTGCACATACACCCTATAGCAAAAACTTCTCCAAAAAAAAAGCAAATGCAAATCACCTTCTCATAAAATTATTTGGCTTATTTTATTTACATATTCACAACTGTAAATACTGTGAATTAAGTGACAATTTTGCTTCAACTGTAGGACAATGTGAAAATACTCCAGGAGAGAAGCATTGCTTATATCAACTCAGATTCATCTCTAGAAGGTAAGCTTATTTCAGATTGAAAGTAAGCCTATAAATTCCCCCTTGTTAACTCTCAGATGTCCTTTTTTTCTGAGATGCCTCAGTAATACCTTCATTTTTAATTTTACCACAGAGAAAGTATGACTTATGTGAATTATATGACTCATCACTATACTATTGCTTCTAATTTCTTTTATGTATTTGCCCTTTGCCTTTCTTGAATTGCTATATAAAATTGTATTAATGACATTGTTCCTAATAGATATTACAGGAATTTGGCTGAACTATTTTAGAAGAGGGACAAATGTGAAGTGTGAACTATAAACTTCCTTTTGAATCTGACATATGGCATTTGTGCCCAGGCTTTCATTGCATTGCGATTCTTTTTAGATAAATATCAAAGTGTATGATTTAGTCTCTGATTTATTTTTGTCTAATATCTTGATACCTACTGTTTTGAGTGAAATAATGAGAAATGAATGCTGTAGTCTTCCACTTCCTTTGCAAAAGTCTCCCTATGAAATGCTGCCACAGAGTGAACCTTATGACTGTGGTGGGAACTCCTACCTTAACAACTTGAGTCCACTGATACCTACTCTGCCCCAAGTACATGCTGTAGTCTTTCACTTTTGAAGAACTACTTCCACTCTGTTTTTTCTTCTAGGGAAGGATGTCTTTGATTCAAAGACTACTATAGCTTGTTGGAAATTAGGAAATAAACTTAGAATTAAACATAGATGGGGAACAGCAGTTAGCGTAATGGCTATGTCGTTGGACTCCCACATAGTTTACCGCAGTTCGAGCCCCGGACCCAGTAGCTTAAACTCACACTGGGCGCATGTGTGTGTGTGCCCACGATCCCGAGAGGAGAATGGAGGAGAAGGGATTGCGGCGTGGCCATCCCCCCGGGGGGGTGATTTCTCGCTTTCTGTTTCTCTGTCTCTGTCTGGCGAGCGCACGTGCCCTATAGCAAAAACCTCTCCAAAAAAAAAAAAAAAAAAAGAATTAAACATAGGTGGAGTCTTATTTGGATTAAGAAATAATACTTTTTGTGTTTTATTTATTTTTCAGGCAATTACACTCTTAGAGTTGACTGTACACCCCTTCTTTACCAATTGGTGTATAAACTAACAAAGGAGGTAAATAAGGAGATCTTTTTAATATGTTTTTTGATGAATGGAAAAATGAATAATGCCTTTTTTCCCTCTTAATTAATGGTTCTTATTTTTAAGTTAGTGACAGAGGTGACTCGTATAAGTAAGTAAATGCAAAATCTTTAATATATGATTTACTTATGTGACATACTTATTAGATAGCAGCACCAGCCTCTTTGTTCTATAACAGTTCTTATTAGTAATTTTGGGGTGCAGCAGGTTGGCTAAGGCATTGGGCTCCCACATAACAGACTGCAGTTTGTGTCCTGGAATCAAATGCTTGAAACTCATGCTGGGTGCATGTGTATGCATGTCCAAAATCCTGAGAGGAGAATGGAGGAGAAGGTATTGTAGCATGGTCATCACCCTTGGGGGATGATTTATCACTTTTTCTCTCTCTGTCTCTCCGGTGAGTGCACCCTACAGCAAAAGATCTCTCTTCAAAAAATTGTGTATATGTTTGTAATGTATATGGTATATAATATTCATCAGGTAGAGGCATTTTTTTATAGCAGAAAGAACACTG